ACTGTGTCCGACAATGAAAACCTTGGTTATATACCATTGATAGTATTTATTCCCGGTTGTCTGTTGTACTCGTAGAGTGTATATGAATGAATAAACAGAGAAGAGTAAATAGGACTCTTTTATTAATTCATGAATGTTCTTGTTCTTGTAGACGGAAGGGGGAAAAGCATAACTTAGAGAGAGAGAGAGTAGGAAGTGTAGAGAGTGGAGGAGCGCAGCCCTCCCCCATTTGGAGGGCTATGAGCCCTTTTATACGCACGGTGGCGGGTTTGACCCGTCACCTTCGACTTTGACCCGCAGATCGGGTCCTGAACCGCTTGATCTTAACTTGACTATAAACGAGTCCATGGATATACAGGTGGTCAGTGTCGGGATATATATCCTATCAACCATAATCTATATAAAAATCACAATATGAGTCCTCGCCATAAAGAAAACAGTTAGTGGGTCTGACTAGTTTATTAAATGTAAAATGACTTTTTCAAAAATTATTTTAGGTATCTTTTTAAATTTTAGCGTTTTGGAATAATAAATTGTTACAAAAAAAACTAATTAATCAAACACTCGTATAGACTATTTAATCAAGTGAAACAATTAATAGTGATCAAACAAATCAAAATTAACTAATAAGCTAACTATATTACCAAACAACACCATACATACAACAATGTCACCAAACAAATCTTCCACTGACAACGCAGAAAGTAGAACAGTTCATAATGCACATACAAAGTCCCCACTTGTCTCTATATCATAATCTTCTTCACCTTCGGTGTCTAAATCATCAAGATCATCCATGCTGCCATCACCCAATACCCCGCCGCCGCCGTCCGCCACCGCACCACCACCCTTGCGCGCCTCTTGTACTATGGCCACCACTTCTTCAACGCTCTGCCACGCTTCATTCCCGTCGTTTGCTTCGCCGCCGCCGCTGTCCCCCTCCGCCTCCGCCTCCTTGAATTCCTCCGGCAAGTTCTTCAGAAACCATGGGTGCTTCTTAATCTCCTCGATACTTATTCTCTGTCCGAAATTACCGTTAGAGATTAGTTTGTTGAGATTTTTACTATATTTTTAGATTGAAATTTAACCTTGTCAGGATCTGCCACGAAAATCTGGGATAAAAGATGCTTGCAGTCCTTGGAGATTCGGACGTAGTATGGGATAGAATACTGCACGCTCAGAATCCTCTGCAACAAAATAACACAAAACAAAAACATTAAAAAAACAACATTAATTAAATCAACCAAAGAAGATAAGTTTGGACCGGCTAACACATACAGTAATTGTTTTCTTGAAATTTCTTGGATCGTCAGGGTCTTCAAACGGATAAGCACCAACCAGCATCACATATAGTGTAACCCCACAAGACCAAACATCTGCAACCTTTTCAATAAACAAAAACAAAAACATACAGACCATGAATTCAATTCTGGGCAATAATTAATTAACTACTCCGTATTTGTTTAACCATATCAAATTATCAACTAATTAACCAATCATTCATATATCATACCTTGCCATCATACTCTTTTCTTGAGAAGACTTCTGGCGCAATGTATGCTGGCGTTCCAACTGTGGATTTAGGCTGGGAATGCAAAACTGCAGACTGAAGAATGGAAACTGCACTAAGTCAGTAACTAAAATGGAAACAAAACTCAAATTTACTTCGGCAGAGGCCGGTGAAGGGTCAATTAAGTCCAGCACTCTGCCTTTCGAAAATGTGGTAAAAAACGAGCTACAAGCTAGCTATAGTAAGCCTATGATCCTAGCTAACAACTCTTGGTAAGTTCATTGCCTTGGAATAGCCGAAATCGCAGATTTTGAGACGGGGCGTCGAGCTTCCATCCAAAAGTGTGTTTTCCAGCTTGAGATCTCTGTGGCAAATTTGCTGCACTCAAGAAATTTCCCAAATCATTATCACAAGATATATACAACAGTCTATGAATAAAGGCTTTAATTTAGTACCATGGAATGGCAGTAACTGACTCCTGATATCAGTTGTTGAAAGAAGAATCTTGCCTGCACAAGTCAACAACATTACAGAGAACATCAGTTAAAACAAAGAAGATAATTCTCAATTTTCGATTATTCACTTCCAAAGAGTTGCGGGTGGGCACCTCGTCTTCACTGAATCTACCAGCATTGCAAATTCGTTCGAAAAGCTCCCCGCCCGAGGCGTACTCCATAACTATGGCCAGATGAGTTGGTGTCAGAAACACCTGCAAACATATATAACAAATGATCTTCAAAAACCAAGATCGATCGATCAAGCTATATATAACCACATCCAGCAATACAGGACTGTAATCTAAGAAACTTAATTGTCTGCTTTCCAACCTCAACTGCTACCTTAATTATTCCATCATATCAATTCGCCAGAAAACCTCAGCAAAAGCAAAAAACACCAATTTTGTTATAAACTACTGCTCATCTGTGATATTATTACCTCTTTGAATCTAATGATGTTTGGATGCTTCAAGGATCTATGGTTCATGATTTCCCTCTGAACATGTTCATCAATCTGCATATATATATTATATAACCACAACAGAAGATCAAGAAAGAGAGGGATTATTTGAAGCAAGAAATGAAAAATATATATATACCTTCTGGCCTCTCTCAATATACTTGACAGCAAAAAGCTCACCACTCCATTTATCCTTCACCAGCTTAGCCACACCAAAATTCCCAGAACCAATGTCCTTAAGAATCTCAAACCTTTCCATTCTTAGCTTCTTCTACTGATCGATCAGCTTCTTCAATACTTACACACAACCATGCATGCCACTTATATATATATTTACACACACAAACACCTATATATATTCATCTCATATTTGTAGCGTATATCGAGGTGGAATATTATCTTAATCTTTTTTTTTTTTTTTGTGGGAAATCTCAAACAGCCATGAAAGGAAGAGCTGACTCTTGCAAGCAGGGAAGATATGCACACACATCAACAGAAATGCAGAGTAGAGATTTTAGGAGAATTTAAAGAATTGGACCAACTAGTATGAGAATGAAAGCAGGTGGACACGTGGCGTTTAGATACTGGTTAGAATTTTCCGCATATCGAAGCAAGTTGATGCACCAACAGTACGTGCATTTAATTGCACAAAACAAGAAAATAAAAAAATTATGGGAGAAGAGACCAAAGTTCTAACCTCGGCGGCGACAGTGTGGAAATTATGTTTAAAGTGGGCAGATTCCTTGTGCACACTGGCATTTAGCTTTGTTCGCTGAACCCATTGAGTCACCGTGATTTACATCCTCTCAAATACTTTGTCGGGTTGGGGATTTAACATTTTGGGAGAAGAAAAAAAAAAAAAAAAAACCTAGGGCTAGCTCATTGGTCGACCACGCCAATATGTCTTAACCGATCAAAAGTGATGAAAACTCTTTGTGTAAAGTGTGCAAGCAAAGGGTTAAAGCATGAGGACTGTCAAGGCTACTCGTAATTTATCTCCTCTTCACTTAGACGGGGTCTGAGAGCTTAATATTAGTATTAATGGAAATATAAGTTGGGAGACCTAATTATAATTATTAAAAAAAAAAAAAAAAAAAAGTGGTCTCCCTGTTGTATCCATTTGCGTCTTTTGTTAATTGTTTGTTGGGGACAAACTTGTTTTCTTGGAGATTTCGTTCGTGGTCAGGTAATTAAAATAGTATTTCATCAAACACCAATCTATAAACAAAGTAAAAGAAAACCTTAGTTCCTGTTAAGATAAAGTTTTATATTCCTACTTGATGAAGGAAACAAAACGTTTTTAAAAAGTCACGAATAAAGTTTTAAAAAACAACACCATAATTTGATTTCAAATTAGTTATAGGCCCATTTGGTCAATTTTAGTTTATTTGACTATTATTAACTGTTTGACTTGATTAAACAGTTAATATATGTGTTGATTAATTAAATTTTTGTAACATCTTATTGCTTCAAAATGTTAAATTTTAAAAAGCTATTCAAAGTAATTTTTTAATAAATTTTTTGAGAAAGTCATTTTGCATGTAATTACCTATACAGTTATAACGAACATTTTTTTACAATCAGCTAATATTATTAACTAATCAAATCACTTATACAATCAGCTAACAACTATTTACCAAACACCCCATAATGAATCGGAGGATTAAAATGGGGTGGGACAGGGAAGATGGAGATGAAGATGGGGAAAAGCAAATTGGAACAAAATTCTATAATGGTGTGTGAGGACAAAAGCCATGCCACCACAACCTCAAAATTCTCAAAATCTGAAAGAAACGTCGTCCCAAACAGGGAATTGGTGAGAGGCTTAGCTTATATTCATTAATGCGACGTTCGTCAGAGATTCCACTTGCGCACTTCGTTGCATGTACGTATGGAACTTCTCTTTCTAAACTTTGGACTGTGCATTAATAATGATAACAAGTTGATGTAATAAATTTTCAATACGTGCAATAAATCACCGGTCCCGTCATTTATGACTCATGACAAATATTGATTTTTAGACCACTTCTACGACAAGTTTATTAAACTATCTTGAATGTTTTGTTTAAATATTAAAATTTTGTAATATAAGATTGGTAGAAATGATTTTTTTTTTTACTTTATTTAAAATTATTAAAATAAATTTAATTTTTACTAAGATAATCACCATATTAATTACATAATTTTAACTATTCAGGGATTAAAGTGTTGAGTTAATATTTGAGTTGCAGAATGCACGTATCAATCCCAGTTGCTTTGAAGCATCTTGGCGTGGGTCACACGCATGCCATTTTGATTGAAAAACTACGGCAAAATTAAAATTTTTAAAACGAAAAATAAAATTGGTGATCTGAAAACAGAGTGTTGTAATTATGGCATAATATTCGGCAAAGGAAATTATCAAAACAGGTGCCACGCTTTGCAGGCAATGTCTGAAACTGATGCGTCGTAATCCAACGCCAGTAGCATAAAGCCCCGTTTGGATAGAACAGAGAGTTAAGAGTCTGTTGAGGATAACAACAAGTTTTGGGAGTAGTTGGAGTAATCATTGTTATAATCATTAAAAGCAGACAATATATATACAAGAGAAGTGATGGCGTTTTAAATTTTAGTTTTACAGACAGACAGAGAGACAGACATAACCATAACTATAGGATTATGTTTTGGCTTTAGAGTTTAAATTTCGTAGCCAGGAAACCTGGAATTGTGTGGGGCGATCAAATCGAACCACAAGCAAGCCACGCCGGCTAGTCCTTGGAAGAGGGAGTAGGCATGATCTGCTGCTCCGTCGCCTTGTGATCCAGCCATGATGTCCCCAGCATTATGGTACAGGAAGCTCCCGAACGCTCTTGCTCTTTCTTGGTATATGCTCTCACCAGTAAGCCGATACAGGGAAAGGGATGCGTAAGCGTTCCCAGCAGTGCCATCTGCCAGTCCCACCTTCTTCACCAGCCCGCTCTTCCACACTACTTCCCCTGCTTCTATTGCAGCATCGCGAAATTCCCTATCGTTTGGAAATACCTGGATGGCACCAGAGAAGAATCAAAACCATATATGCCACCAAACACACCTACATTTCATCATCAAAACTTATTACAAACCTGGGATGCTTTGCAGAGAGTGATGCCAATGCCAGTTGCACCGTGACACCATTGCACCAGCTTGTCCCTCGGGTTTCCCTCGCTCACTGGGTAATTACCACTGTGTGGGAACCTGTTGTTCATCATGTACCTCAACGTCCCCTTCACGTCCTCCACGCCATCTTCAGATAGTGGGAAATGCAGTAAAACGTTCAATATACCAGCAAGCCCATGAGCTGCACCCCAGTACCTTGTGCCGTGCCATCTGTACATCAGTGGACACATTGAATTATCAGACGACCCAGCTCGGCCTCCTTCTAGTATGGCTTCAACAACCGGCATCAGAGTTTCGTTTGGCACTGCCTCGGATCCCAGGTGCTGCTTTATGAAAAGAGCAGCCCACAGAAAACCTGCTCTTCCATAAAGGAGATCATATGACATTCCAAATCCCCCCTCCTCAGGACCAACAGGCAGGGCCTTTTCCTGTGCCACCTGCAAATTACAGCAACTTTTACCTATACATTGAACCATAAAAGTTGTTTCCCAAATTTATGCTTTCTCACAAATTCCAATTAACATTTGCTACTTAATTGTTACAGTAGTCTTGAATGTAGTTTCACCTATGCTAGCCAATTCAGGAGGTTTAATATAACTTTTTCCAAATAAAAGTAGATATCATAGATTTCCTGAAATAATGCAGGCTACTAGATCAAGCAAAAAAATTGTCAGACATCAACTGCATCATGGGACAAACCCAACCAAGTTGGTCAGGCTAACTTGGTAATCACAAGGTTACAAGTTCAGCTCCCAACAGGAACAACCTATTGGTCTTCTTAGTTTGAGCTAGTCAGCTATGACAACCTAGGTTGGTTTAGCTCCTTGTGGTCATCAATGATATGCATGTTACCTAGCTCCACCCTCAGGCCAATAATGGCTGTGGAAGAGTGAGAAGAAACCACTTTTAGTTTGTTACACTTATTGACCACCAAAAAAATCTTCTTATGGCCTACAACGTGTCAAATTGTTCCTTTTCTGGCAATTGCCTTCTTCGGTATTCTGCTAGATGATGAAAGAAAAGCCAGGTCCACTAAAAATACAAGTACTTATTTGCCAAATTACAGTATTTCATATCTAGACAGACAACATCCTGCATAAGTTATCCCACTTGTATTAAGTTGCTTGTATTGATTTAGGTGATCCACAGATCTAAGATCTAACTTTGTGCAGCAAGAACATGAAACATGCATGGATCTCAAGTCTTAACAAACTCTATAACCAAAAAAAAAAAAGTTGGTAGATATTGCAAGATGTATTATGGGCCACCATACAAAATTAAATAAACACTTAGCATTAACTACTTATCCAAAAATGAGAAATAAGAAACCACTGGAAGTTAAGGTAAAAGGTTGGTTAGATCTACTGCAAAAAGTCCCCATTTCATAACATGTTCTTGGTATAATACATCAATTACTTCAAAACAATATCACAACACATCAAAAATTTGGGTCAATTAAGATATGGAGAGATGTTCAGGGAACTTGGATAGAACTAGCATAGTCAGTACCTCAAAAAAATAGTCCAAATAAGAGTCTCGCTTCTGCTGGTCCCCACAGTAGTTGGCAGCAACTGCACCGAGTGCATAGAGTCCTCCTCTACCACACAGAAAAGTTATGTGCCTGGTCCCCAGCAGGAAAACAAGTACTATAAAACTCCATGGATATTTTATGTGCTCGAGAATTTCAAATGCATTATTAAAAAAATATGGAGTAACTATGAGTTTACACCACGTTTCTTATGCTTATATGAGATATACAGGCCCCACCAAAGATATTCCTAAAAATCACTTCTCCTTAATCTCCCATCTCCTCGAGTTCAATTATTAAACTGATAATAATTCCTTCAGTTACTAACATACTCGGTAAACTATTCCCATCCTTTCTAATCAATGTGCTCCAGCTCTTAATACGAATCTTTGGTGTGTCACGATACCCATTTGATTAAAGCAACTTGTCTTCTTTCCCAGATGAAGTAAATTTTGTCTTCCCAATTGGGTTTCCACTTTCAAGAATTGATTATTTATTTAGCTAAAGGCTCACCTAACATCATCTTAAACACTCACAACTATCTGTCCATCTCTAAAAAAAAAAAAAAATTAGCACTCATCTATATATTCATTAGTTAATTAGTTGCAACCCCAAACTGTTCTTCAAGAAATGATGAAAACCTATAAACACAGATTAATAGCTAGAGTCACTGTTATTTACCCATCCACTATCTGTCGGACCAAAGTGACGAGAAAATTTAGCCTTTTATGGAGAAAATTAATAACTACCAAGTAATATATAATCAATCAAAGTCAAAGGTAAGAGTCATAAACTAATTGCTTCACGCGCATCTTCATCATATATTATCAGGATTTAAAGCATCGCACATTCCAAGCACTATTCATAAATTCCGAAGCTAAGGCCCTTTTTTTTTATTACCATTTTTAAATCTAAAATTTGATCAGTATACCATGTTTAAACCATTGTAACTCGAAAAAACTGAAAATAATTACTGAGAAAAAGCCGTGAACTAGAAGCAAGGTAAGCAACCAAAAAATAATTAAAGCAAGTAGTTTATGGGACCTGATGGTGGCCGGTGCGGCGGAAGCGCAGGTGTCAACAATATCGGCGCACAAGCGCAGGTCTTGGCGGTTTCCGGTGGCCTGAAACGAGCGGAGGCAGGTGTAGGCCGTCCCCAGCAGACCCGTGTAAACAGTCGGGTCCATATGAGTAACCGCACTGCCACCGCGTGCTTTCCACGTCATGTCTACGACCTAACACCAACAAAATCCGATTTCGTCGTTAACCGCCACGGAACGATTCCGATCCCAAATATCGCCACTCGAATTTCAGGCAGTGTGACTCACCTGGTCTTTGAGAGATACGGCGGCCTGGAGAAAGGTCTCAGCTGGTAGAATAAAGCTAGGAGCCGTCGGATCGAGTACTGTACGGAAGCCGGAATCGTTCCCGTCTTCATGGTTAGTGCCGTTACTTTCCGGCGAAGCTAAGTGGACTATTGAAGATGACATTTTTCTCTCCTTTGAGATATTTCCTTTTCTCGCAGATTTCAATGGCTACCTGATCCGCTGGGAAAGATGGGGCAGCGGTATTTATAATGGAGCGCATGAACTATGTGTGATGATACGGTTGCACAGAGGAGAGGCGTGATAACGCTGATGCATTGCGCACATGCCACGTTATCCACTGTCTCTTTGGTGGATTCGCGATGCTCAAATACTAGGGACCCAAATACTATTAGCAGTAGACTATGTTTCAATTATTAACTAAGTAGCTCCTAACTCAATGATACTTTTGTAGTTCTCTTAAACAAGAGATCATAATAAAAGCAGTAATATTTAAAAAAAATGTTATAATTATTGACCAACTTCTTTTTAATAGTAGTTTTTTGGTAAATTTTTGAGATGGAAATGGGGAGAAGAAAGAAGAATTAGCTCTCTCAGTAATGAGCTGATTTTTAGTCCATAAAGTGGGTCTCACCATGTGTAAATATTGCTTGCGTGCAGCGCGCCCGCTAAACGTGTTAAAATGATTTTTTTTTTTCAAATTTATTTTGTTATTTTTTTCTTTTTTTCTCTTCCCTCCTATCTTCTTTTTTATAATTACCCTACAGAAATTTTTCAAAAACTATAACTATTAGGGATGCTGTTAGTTATGTCAATTACTGTGTAAAACCTTTGATTGATGTGAAATAATGTCAAGTAGATCATGTTACATCTGATATAAATAATTCAATCATATATGTCGTGTCCGTTTAATATAAATTTGAAAAAAAAAATGATAAGGATTATGTTCTCTGTCTCTTCCGTACCTTATCAAGTTATTACATACTGATATGTATATTACATTTTCAAATGAGAAATTACCTTATCAAGTTATTACATACTGATATGTATATTACATTTTCAAATGAGAAATTCACACGAAGATATGTCTCAAGTTTTATTTTTTTTTTTGAATGCTAATTCACACGAAGATATGTCTCAAGTTTTATTTTTTTTTTTGAATGCTACTGACTCTATTACATTGTAATATCTGTTCAAATATACTTTCTCAACCTAATGAAGCACAAAGAGTCAACAACGCCTCCACTGAGGCTCGATCTCATGACTTCCCACATGGGAGAGGTCACTACATACCATCTGAGCACAAGGTGCTTGGCATGTCTCAAGTTTTATAATTGTGTTAATGTTTTTTTAGTACTACTGACTCTGTTATGATACCGTATTTGGGCAAATTATGTTGTGCATCCGTATGCACCATGCATGGTGCATACGGATGCAAAAACGACGTCGTTTTAATAAAACGCGCGTCTCTCCTTAAAAAAAAAAAATCAGGTTCGATTCCCAGCAACAACATATGAACTAAAATTCCATAATCGATGAACTATAATTCCATAATCGATGAACTATAATTCCATAATCTAATCTATGAACTAAAAATTTCAGAATGAATGAACTAAAATTCCATAATCTATAAACTAAAATTTCAGAATCGATGAACTATAATTTCATAATCAATGAACTATAATTCCATAATCTATGAACTAAAATTCCATAATAAATGAACAATATAATGTTGTTGCTGGAAATCGAACCTAAATTTTTTTAAAAGGGAGACGCGCGTTTTTAATAAAACGACGTCGCATGGTGCATACGGATGCACAGCATAACGATTGCCGTATTTGTTCATAATTGTGTTAACTTTGGTTATTCCATTAATTATTATATTAACATTATGTTTGGTTCACGAAATAAAATGAGAATATAATAGAATTTTAAAAGATGATTTTATTCCTTCATTCAACAAATCATTTTATTATTTATATTTAATAATACCTACTTTATCCTTATATATATTTTTGTTATGTATAATAATAATAATAATAATAATAATAATAATAATAATAATAGTATTATTATTATTATCATCATCATCATCATCATATGTGTGTGTATGTATGTGTGTGTGTGTGTGTGTATATATATATATATATATATATATATATATATATATATATATTGTTGGGCAAATGCCACTCAAGGGCCAAATCTAACACGGGGTGATTAAAAATATTGTTTGGTGGATGTTTGAAGTGTCAAGTCCAGCATCATGCCTTTCGAAAAATGTGACGAAAGAAAGAGGTAAAGTTACACATTCACTACCAGCTATAAATTTTACCGTTGTATATATATATATATATATATATATATATATATATATATATATATATATATATATATATATCAATGTGGAGGGGGTAACTTTGTGTTTTGAACAAATGAAACAATATGTTTTTTTTTAATATATTTAATTTAATAACATCAATAAGCTCAGCTAAAAAGATATTTACAAAACATTTATTTTAAGTTTTTAACTTCATCAAATTAAGATTTGACAAATAAATTAAAATTTAATTCATAAGTTATTTTCTAAACACTCCATAATTCACAAATTACAAATATCATTTTTTTTTTACAATATACCGTTATGATACACTAGGAAGGATGAATATAAGAACAAAAGTTTGAGAATGAATATAATACATCGTCGTTCTAATAGGATTATATGAATCGTGGAATTGGTTTGGCGGATGAAGGCGTGTGTGGTCATTTCAGTCATTCAACCGTGAAAACACAATCACACACTTATCTGTCAAAATTGTTGGACTTAGACACTTGAATTTTTAAGACATATTTAGTGATTAGTTAGTCAGTAGGGTTTGTTTGGTAGTGAGTATTTTACAGTTTATAATTTATTTTAAATCATAAAATTATAAATTTATAAGTTTTGTTAGATAAAATATGAAGAGTTTAAAATAATAATTTAGTTTGAAATGTTGTTTTAAGTAATGTTTTAAAATAAGTTATTATATTTTAATTCTTTAAAAAAATCTTATTTAACTTATAAAATGACACAATCTACCATTCATTATTTAAATTCATAATATTTCATACACTTATCAGCTTATTTAACAATTAACTTTACCAAACACTTGAAATATTTTTGGAGTTTAAAAAAAAAATAAAAAACTTGAAATATGAGGTTCTAAAGTGAGAAATAATGTTGTGAAAGTGATTTTAATATAAGAATGATAATAAGATGTGAATTTTCTATTTTACCCCTATAATAATAGAGGCCCATAGATGGTTTTTGGATTTTCTGTTAAGAGTAGACATAAATCTTATGTCAGGGATCAAATACGCCACTTCACTCATAACTGAAAGATAAAAAATGAATACAATTATAACTGAGGGACTGAGTTGTCGATATGAGTGTAACTCCCGAACCAAATATGCCATTTTCCCTTTTTTTTTTTTTTTTTTTTTTTTTGAGAAGAAGAACTTAATTATTTTCCCTTTTATTTAATAACTTAAATTAAATATCACAAAAAAAAAAAAGCAATTCTTTTTTTCTTTTTAATGCTCATATTTTTCTTAAACTATAGCCATAATTTTGATCTATAAAAATTACCTCCCCCACCCCTCACGGCCAATATAATGAACATTATTGGCTCTGCCATCGGTATTACACCGGATATTCTTAGTGTGATTCATTTTTCTTGTATAATTTATACGGTATTACACAAAATAATAAAAATTAATATAGTGTGTATCTTCAAATACTTACTATAATTTTTTCTCTTTATTTAAAAGAAAAAAAAAAAGTTACCTTGCTAGCTTTACTTTGTCTATTTCACGATACACCTATACGGGGAATCACATTTTCTATGTGCGGAATCTAATAATTTGTTATTGTGGGGTCACACAGATATTTTTTTGAAAGATGGTGTCACACCGATAAGCCCTAACTTTTTTTTTTTTTTTCTTATGTTTTTTTGTTTGTTTTTTTTTTTTTTTTTTGAAATTTTTTCTTTTGTTTTCTTTCTCTTAATCGGAAGTGATCATTTTCCGTTACATCACGGAATGTAACGACAGAATATAATCTACAATACTGCTACCTTGTTTTGATTTGACTTTCACATGAATAATTTAATTATTATTTTTTTTATAAGACATGCAATATTAAGTTCAATAATTTAATAGCGAAAATTTTATCACAACCAAAAACACATTTTACATTTGTTCTTACTATTAAAAATAAATTAAAATAAAATAATATTTTTGTAAATAGTTATCATTTTATTTAGAAAAAAGTTTTTAATCCTGTAATTTTTATTTCATAATAATAAATATGATGACTTTTTGACATTATTGTAAAAAAAATTTTAATAGAAGTGTGGAAATATATGGAACGTATATGATAATTATTGATTTTTTTTTTCTTTTACCTCAACCGTGCCCTTGATTGGTCAGATTAGGAAGTGGACCTTACCAGGATGAACAAGCAAAATGTGAATCGTCTTCTCAACTATCACAATCATATGAGTCTCTTCAACACCAACATATAGCGTGACCAACCTAATAGACATGTAGGCGAGTGTCACATGCTCCTCGTCAGTGAAAATTTTGGCATGTGCTCCTTGGCTAGTGTTATAGAAGCCAAACTTCACCTCAAAGATATCCTTAATTAGCACTCTTCAATATTCTGACCTCTTGACCTCCGATCCGACAGAATCTTGTGTATTGAAGATTTTATTGAACAATATGTTTTAACAACTGCAAGGTTAATTAATTAAGTCCCATATACCATGTAGTGTGATGACATTCTGGTTATCATTCTGAATGGATGACTATAGGTTTGAACCTCAGTGGTGGGGTTTAGATTCTTTGGACTAAAAATATTTGAGAAAGTATACTACCTTGTATAGAAGAATGAGTATTTAAAAAAAAATAAAATAAAAAATTAAGTCCCATATACACTATAATAAAATGCACTCTCAAAACACATGGGCATTTACCTAATTAATTAAAGCTCTCATAGAGTCATAGGCGCATACATGCTTCGAATTACATATATATAATATTAATTAGTGTGTTTATTTTTATTTATTAATTAACGATATGAACTTGAGCAATTGGCCAATTATATATTCTTTATAGCTTGATGGGGAGTTAATGTAATGTGAAATAGTGGATTACTAACATTTGGGGTGTTTGGTAAATAATTATTAGCTGATTAGGTTATTAGGTTTGACTAGTTAATAACATTAGATGATGATAAAAAATATTTTGTAAATTAACTGTTAGCTGATAGCTGATTATATGCAAAATGACTTTCTTAAAAAACTGAGGAAAAAATTTGAACTGCTTTTTAAATTTTAGCATTTTGGAGCAATAAACTGTTACAAAAAGTTAATTAATTAAACATTCATATTAATTGTTTAACTAAGTCAAACAACTAATAATGGTCAAATAAATCAAAATTGATTGATAAGCTAACTATGTTATTAAACAAGACCTTTAACTGTGTTGTTGTCAAAAAAAAAAAAAAAAAAAAAAACCTTAATAACTGTGTTACGTAAGGCTAACATTATCCCTTCAAATCTCTCACACTCTAAAAAATGGGTCCCACTTCCACATCATCTCATTTGCAAATCATCTACCATTCACACTACATCCTTACAAATCTAATCAACTTTTAAAAGTGAGCTCAACATAATAAAATAACATTATTAATTACATTAAAATATTAGAAAGTAAAGAAAACAAAATTTAAAAAAAAAGTACAAAAGATGCCGCGACAGCTTTTCAGGGGTTTGTAAATTTGCAAACCCCTTTCAATTAAAAAAAAAAAAGAAGAAAATAATGATGTGGCTAATTCACATTATCTTGCCAATTTAAAATTGGCGGTTAAAGTACCTATGATGCCCCTGTACTATAGTATTTTGTTCAATTTAGTCCTTCTACCTTAATTTTGTTCAATTTAGTCCTTGTACTTTAAAAAGTGAAACAATTAAGGACAATAGCTTATGTGGCACTGATACTATCTCTGCCACGTCATCATACTTACATGCCAACTCATATATTATTTTATAAATATTTAAAATTAATTATTTTTACCACCAATATATTGCATTAATATGTCCAAAATAAATACATAAATATTTACTCACATAACCTATTGTCTTTAATTATTTCAATTTTTAAAGTATAGGAATTAATATGAACAAAATTAAAGTAAAATGATTAAATTGAACAAAACACTATACTTCATAGGGATAATCTAAGCCTAACGCGGAGGACATGAATGATTAGTAGGTCCAATTAGCTAGCTAGCGAATGTGCATGTACGTGCCTGAATACATTCATGTGTGTCTTGTCGTCTCAACTTATAATAATAATAATAATAAAATAAAATAAAATAAAAACACCATACATATTTAGAATCTCAAATGATGTTGTTATGCTTTTAACAACATGATTATATTACATAACCAAGGGAATGTGACATTTCAAAGTTCACATAACAGTGTTTGGTTCATATTATCTTAGGGAATGTAACATTCCCAAGGAATGTCACATTCCCTCCACATAGGATTTTGAAGGGAATGTGATTCCCTTCAAAATCTTAGGTAATGTAAGATAACTTTGGTTATGTTAGTTTATTATATATATATAATTATTTTTGTAATTATATATTTTTTAATTTTTATTATGTTATGTTAGCATATAAAATAATTTTGTTTCTCAAGTTCAAAATTTTAGAGTTAATATTTTAAAATCATGTAATTATATATGATACCGTTATCTTATTTATTTATTTTAATTTTTAAATTTATTAAAATATATGAAAATATGTTAAGGATATTATAATGTGTATAAAAGATAACCCTAAACCAAACATGATTATATTACATACCTCAATTTTAACCAAACACAGGAATCTAACATTCCCAGTAATCTAACATTTCCAGCAATCTAACATTCCCTAAGGTAATCTGACATTCCGTGAACCAAACGGCCCTTATAGTTGATACAGATACCTACAGTAACCTAAACCAAAAATAATGATAGAATTTAAGCATAATAATGGAGTGCGTAGCAGTGTTGGAAAACTCCTATTTTTGTCCACCAATAAGTGGACGGCAGCCTGCCTGCCTAGTGCCTTGTTTTGCTGAAATGTCTAAATACTAATGCTTGGGGCCACCATAAATGAGAGTATTGATATAACAAAATGAGGGTAAGAAAATACTAAAGTTATTGTATTGTTCGGAGCGATAAGTTCAAAAAAGTATATACAATATAGTTTGAGATACTATCTAGGGGTATTAGTGAACAGAGCTTTCGGCAAACTACTCGTGTTCGTGTTCGTATTCGATAAGCGTTCGTTTATGTTCGTTTATTAAGATAAACAAATATTAACAAACAAAATTTAGAGCTTGATTTATAAACGAACAGAGTCTGCACCTTTCATGTGGCTCCGCCACTGGTACTATGCTAAGTTATTAGTAATAAAACAATCGTTATACATATGACCTTCGTATTTATATAATGATAATTTTCATTCTTCAAATTATGTAAATTTTTTAACCTTTCGAAAAATGTTCTAATCTCAAAAGGTTGTGTAACATTCTTCAAAACTTATGAAAAGAATTATTTTTGAATGGATGCATGCCTAACAATGCATAATAGGTGGAGGGTGTTTTGTAATAAATCTACCTATACTTAATAATATAACTTTGAATTTAGTCACGTGCAAAATTTCAAACTCTTGTACACATACATATTTAAACACTTCCCACACAACAACAGTAACAACAATATTATTATTGCTTGTTAACATCAATGTATGTGGTCCTCAAGCTTATTCATGATTGGATGAGACCAGGGCAGGATGAAGTAATTGGTTCATGTGGTCTGTTAGCATCCAAGACAGACCAGCCTGATATGCAAACCAAAACTACAAATTAACGTCAAGCAGTGTTGAAAAATACGCTCGACACCCAGGCCTAACACCTAGGGCGCCTAGGTGCCCGATTTTTTTATTTTTATTTTTAGGGGGTTATTCGTCAAAAAAACAAAAATCGGGATTCGGTCGCCTAGGTGCCCAGCCGCAGAGGAGGCCGATTTCGGCATTTCTCGACGCGGCCGGGCGCCGTCTAGACACAATTTTGGTAACCATGATGTCAAGATATATAACATGGGTTCCATAATCTAAAGTCAAGTGTTTGTATCACTCGATAATGTATAGAGTTTCAAATGTTTTTATTCCATTAATTTGGTTTGAAGAGCTTTTACAAAGCTTTTTTCTTTTTAGGTGGACAAGGGTAATTGAGCATATGTGTTATTGATCTTTCTCTGAATGACCTTTTAACTTCTTTTGACAATTGATTATATATGTATAGTGCAACCTCGGTTCAGGCAACATACTTGTGTGTTAGCACGAGCTTAGTTCATTAGTTCAAACCTCCATGTTATACTGATATATTGTTTTGATCAGATCTAAAGGCAAATTATAATTAAACCTAGCTTTTACCAAACTATGATGGATTGATTACTGGTGCAAAAAATTAAGCAGAATGAGGATTTCATTCTCAGACCCCATTGTAAAGATAATGGATTAATGGGCTTGGGAGGAGAGTTGAGAATAGATGCTAAACAATTTGGACCACAACAGTACTTGGCATAGCATTTCCACAATCGTTATGTCATGGAACCGTGTTCACCATACACATCCTTCTTCTTCTTCTTCTTTACTTTTTTTTTTTTTTTTTTTTTTTTTTTTTTTAATTAACAGCGCGACTTTTCTTCTTCATTTTCACATTTTGTGGTTTCATTTCTTCTTCATGCAAGCTTCTTCAACACTCATAAATTATGAATGTACAAGCATGTATTTATGAATGTGCAGTTATGAAATTATGAATTTTCTTTTATGAGATTATGAATTTTCTGTTATGAGATTATTAATTTACAGAAATTCATAATTACATAACTGTAAATTCATAATCTCATAACAGAAAATTTATAATTTAATAAATGTTTTTCTTTTATGAGATTATGAATTTTCTGTTATGAAATTATAAATTTTCTGTTATAAGATTATGAATTTTATGTTATGAGATTATGAATTTACAGAAAATTAATAATTACATACTTGTAAATTCATAATCTCATAACAGAAAATTCATAATTTAATAAATGTAAATTCATAATTTGAACATAAAATGCAAAACGCTGTTAACATCATATTAACTAAATTTTATTTTTTTCCCTAAAAATAACACCGTTTTAAAACGTGTTCACAAAGCATGGTGAACACGTTTCCACGGCATAATTTGCGGTATGAGTACTAGCATATATTTACAATTAAGAATAGATTTAAATTTAAATGTCGTCACAAATTAATGGAAGCCCGGCCCAAGTACCTGTTCCTAGCCTCACCCACCTCTGGGAATGGGCCTAAAGCCCAAATTCCATTTCGCTCGCATCTCTCTCTAAAATGGAGCTCGAGGAGTCAAGGCAGGAAAATCAAAATCCTGCAAGTTGAGTCTCTCTCTCTCTCTTCCCCCTGAAAGAGTAAGAGCTCTATCTCACAGACAAACACAGGCATCAATGGCGTCTGCACGTGAGGAGAACGTCTACATGGCGAAGCTTGCGGAGCAGGCGGAAAGGTACGAGGAGATGGTGGAGTTTATGGAGAAGGTGGTGGCCGCCGCGGAGGGCGCCGAGGAGCTCACTGTGGAGGAGCGCAACCTTCTGTCGGTTGCGTACAAGAACGTGATCGGCGCTCGCCGTGCCTCGTGGCGCATCATCTCGTCCATTGAGCAGAAGGAGGAGAGCCGCGGCAACGAGGACCACGTGGCCTCCATCAAGGAATACAGATCTAAGATCGAGTCAGAGCTGACCTCGATCTGCAACGGCATCCTCAAGCTCCTCGACTCCAAGCTCATCGGCGCCGCTACCTCCGGAGATTCGAAGGTCTTCTATTTGAAAATGAAAGGTGACTACCACCGCTACTTGGCTGAGTTCAAAACCGGAGCCGAGAGAAAAGAGGCCGCCGAGAACACTCTCTCCGCTTACAAGTCTGCTCAGGTTCGTTTCTCGTAGAGCAAGCGTTTATAATTTTATCTCTATTTTCTTTTAGTAAAATTTTATTTCTGTAACGTTATAAATTTATGCAAATGGTGTGCTGTATAGTCTCGATTTGAAATCTGGATCGTGTACTGAATATCCTGTCTGAATAGGAAATTGCCAATGGGGAACTTGCTCCTACACATCCGATTCGTCTTGGCCTCGCTCTCAACTTCTCTGTATTTTACTATGAGATCTTGAATTCCCCCGACCGTGCTTGCAATCTCGCCAAGCAGGTAAAATTTATCAAACTTTCTTCCTTTAATCGATTGTTTATATGCAAATCCCAAAGGAAAAACAAATATATCTGTAGTCTCAAGCTTGAGGTGCATTGTAATATGTCTCTTTGTGTTCACCTATGGCAGTGTTTCGAATTCTTTTCATTTGTTACTTTCATATTATGTACAGGCCTTTGATGAGGCAATTGCCGAGCTGGACACCCTGGGAGAGGAATCCTACAAGGATAGCACTCTGATTATGCAGCTTCTTCGTGATAACCTCACTCTGTGGACATCAGACATGCAGGTAGTGCATTCATTCCTTGTTGCTAATACAATTTATCTATGCCTATTTTGTTAATTCTATATATCTGCTGTCTTCTTGGTCAGGATGATGGAGCTGATGAGATCAAGGAAGCATCAAAGCCAGACAATGAGTAAAGTCAGTGAAGTTCCTAACCTAGGGAGGATTCGAAGTGCCTTGTTATAGCTTTGCTGCCAGGTTGACATCCTGCTTTCTAGTGCTAGGTTTTCCAATGATTTGCAATATTTGAAGGAACACTGTTTCTTGTTATTTGATGTTTCTGGGCCTTGGTTCCTTGTATTTTTTTAAACTTTGGTTTCGTCATTTGGATGCTTTCCTTTTCCTCAAAGGAATGATGCATTAAGATGTTATTATATCTTGCCTTAATTTCGCCAATTACCTCTTGAATTAATTGCATGACATAGATTGAAATTAGTATCCCATTAGTTTGGTTAGAAGACCACATTGCGTATTAAAACTTCTTTGGTAGGTGATTAGAGTTGACTATTTACTTTTCTCATAAAGTTGGAAGTTTCTCCACCCCCCCACCTCAATGTTTAAGGGCTTCATTGTCCTGGCTGTATTGCATAATCTTGCCTTAGTTTGAAATTTTGAACTTTGAACAGGTTAAATGTTTTAGATCATTGACTATTGCTTTATTCAAATTAGTAGTTGGTATTTGTTGTTTCCCCCTTTTCCGACATCAACAAATGATCTTTTACTGGAAAAGGTTAAAACAGGAGGTAGACCAGACCACCTGTTATTTTAACTCGTACAATAAATGCATTCTTCATCTTCTTGACCAAATAAAGTTGGAAAGCAAGCAGGCAGGCAATATGCACTTTTTTGTTCCTCTTTTCTTTAACTTTACAGTTGGGTTGAATAGTAATAAGAAACACTTTTTTGGTTAGTTAAGGGGTACAACTTTTTCAAAATGGCTGGTCTGATCTTGTGGTGTAGTGATTATCCTTTATTTCTAGGACACTAGGTGTCATGCTTATTTCTAAAACACCCTAGCTAGCTATTTTGTCGGCAGTTGTATTGGAAGCTTCGTTTGATAATAAATTAATGGACCGACCTTAGTATTAGTTGTCCTAAAATTTGAACACCAAAGTTGGCGTGGATAAAATAGAGTGAATGGTGATAGTTACAAAGGACGTGCGTAACAGATCATAGTTGCATTGAAGGATTCGGCGTGATAGCGACGACTTTTGCATCCGGTATCTATACTTATACAATTATTTATTATTGTTGGGACGATCCAAGTTGGTATCCATCCGATCCGGTGGCGTTTCAAATCTTCAAATTGCTCAACTTATAATAAACAACAATTTGTTTATTTATTAGATATATCTGTTCACGTACGTCGCAGGCTGTGTCATGTCAAAATATTCCAATTTTTGGCTATTCAACCAAATGCACACAACTGGAATACTGTTTGATAAAAAGATCAAATGATTCAAATGGGTGTCCCAATGCTAGTTGTTAGCTAGAAAAAAAAAGGATATTATTCATAGTAAAGCCTGCACTTGGATTTTTACTTAAATATTTAAAACTTGGTTTGTCCGTCCATCTTTCTTTTCTTTTTAACTTAAGTGGCATAAAAAAAAGTGTATATATATATATATATATATATATATATATATATATATATATATATATGCGTGTAATCTTTAGTGGGATAGTATTAAGCTAACTAAATGAGTGAGAATTAGAGCAGACTGTAGAGCGTGTAATCCAATAGTTGCAATCTCATTCTTCTCATGTATTCATTATTCTTTCGTATTTTACAAGCTTCTTTTCTCAATGATTTAATACTGACTTCCTTCCAGCGAAATTTTAAAGAGATGTTAAAAGGCTACGAGCCTACCAGGCAAGTTTGGCTGACACTATATCACGCGTTTAACTCACTAGTTTAGTAGGAAATATTTCTGACAAGAGACTAAGGTTTAAAAATTGACTGCAGTAATGTGGAGATTATGTCTAAAGTGAATAGATTCATTGTGACCACTGAATTACCGTGATTTATATCCTCTCAAATACTCTTGTCAAGACATGGTGTGAGAAGCCATTGGAATTGGAGATTCAACCTTTTAAGGCAAGTTATATCCTCTCAAATACTTGTCAATGCGCGATGTGGGGATTCATTGGAATTGGAGATTCACCTTATGAGGCAAGTTTGAGGACACAAACTGTTGTTAATAATCAAAGTCCACGATAACTTTTTCTTTATATTATGAATCCATAAAGTATATACAATCAATTAACATATTAAATATATAACAATTAATAACAAGTCTAAGTGTTTTTTAGTCTTTATGTGTGCATAAGGGATTCAATACAAACCCTCGTACTGTTGTCTCAAGCCATGATCTTTAAGTCAGGCGACGAACTAACTACGTCGGGTAAATGGGTATATTGAAATTTAATTTTTTAAAGCAAAACAAATGTTTGAAATAAATTAGAATTTAATTGATATATTTTATGAGAAATTTAATTGATGAGAAAACATTAAGTGATCTTTAAAAAAAAAAAAAGAGATAATTTTACATTTTTTGTTTTAAGTTATAAACTAAGTGTAAATTTAGTCTCTAATTATAATGAGGTGCAGGAAACAAATAGCCATTTTGTGTGACTGATTAGGGCAGAAATTGCAACTCATGATAATTAAAAATTAAAAATTACGAGTACGCTATAACTTAGAGACTAAAAGTGCAATTAACCCCAAAAATAATCTACCTTAAACTTATATAATTTCTGGTGAAGTCGATTGCTCCCAAGTCAACTATTTAAAGTGACTACAAAAGGGCATATTTTATAGGCAACAAATATCTGTATTATAATGTTGTTATGGAATTTGAAGACTGATATTAACTTTAAAGCTGTATAACACACACATACACACACACACACACATATGACCAAATGTTTTCCTATTGAAGCTGTTTCTCAATATATGCTAACAAGGTATGGTCTCCAGCTATCTGAATCACTCACCAAAAATTTGATTTGCTGATGATATTGAATGGTGGCAGAAAGAAAATGTTGAATGGTTGATGATATGATTCTGGGTTTCAATAATCTGGGCAACATACTATGAAGTTTTCTGGCGTTCTGGCGAAACTTTGTTGGTCTTGAGACGTTGATTCTCCTGTGCAAGGAAATGGAGGGCGTCCTCCTTATCCGCGATGGCGTCTTTGAGTTTAGAGTTCTCGTTTATGGCCATATTGGCTGCTGCTTTGGCAGCGTTGGCTTCGCTAATCGCCTGCTTCAATATGTCTCTCAGTCTAACCCTTTCTTCCTCGGCTTGTTTTATGCAGCTCACGAACCCCATCTCTTTCCCGTTCCATGCCAAAAGGGTCTCCTCGGCTTCTAATCTCACTCGCTCTGCTGCATTTTTGTGTATCTCTACTTCCTTCTTTGCCTCTTCCAAATCCTTCTTGGTCTTATCCTCTATCTCGGCTACTCTCTCTTTTAGCTCCGCGTTTTCCTTCTTGACTTGATCCAGTTCGATTTGAGTTGCCCCGAGTTTGAGTTTCACATTCTCCTTAGCCTCGGTGGCTTCTTCGGCTACTTCTTTTAGGGCCGAGGCTAAAGTATCCATCGCCTTTCTGCTCTTCTCTTCTGCTTCGGTTGCCATCTTTAGTTCGTTCTTGAGACGGGATACTTCGTCTGTCAACTCCTTAATCTTTTCCCAGGCTTCAGTTTCCCCATTGCAGGACCTCGAATTCTCCTCCTCCATCGACTTAATCTTCTCGTAAAGCCCAGCCATTTCTCGATTGGTCTGCTCAAGCGAGACACGAATCTTGGACTCCGACAGCTTCCGCTTCTCCAATTCATCTTCCAGCTCCTGGATTCTCATCCGGTGATCACTCACCGAATCCCGGGCTGCTTCTTCTGCATTATCCATCGCCGCTCTCAACATCTCCACAACCTGCTTCGCCTTCTCGAGCTCCGATTTTAAACACTCGCTGTTCCTGTCTTTGGCGTTCAATTCTTGGCGGGTACTATACAACATTTCGTTCAAGTAATTAACCTCTTCTACTGATTGCCTCATCTCCCAAAGCTCATCAACAGCTCGCTTTCTTTCCCCCTCTGCACACCCTAATTGCTCTCTTAACACCCTTATTTCCTCTTCCAGCTCCCCAATTTCCGTTTCTGGCATTTCCAGCACTCTACCACTCCGATTCTACATTCAATCAAACATAGCCATGATGAGAATCGAAGAAAATGTTTACATAACTATCAGCTTAGCCTTTTAGTCGAACGACAGAACACATATTTCAATTTAATTATCATCAAAACTCTTATTCCAATTTGATATCAGAGTCAACCCAAATACCCAATGCAAAAAAAAGTTATGGGTTCGAATGTGCAATTCAACTACTAGCTTAAACTTTTAGCTGAGACAGAACGAAGGGAAGGGCATACTTCAATTTGCCCATCTTACATTACCATTAAACTAAAATTTGATCAAACTATATATGAGCTCAAAAAAAAATTATGGGTTCGAATGTGCAATCCAACTAATAACTTAAACTTTTAGCTGAGACAGAACGACCGGAAGGGTATACTTCAATTTGCCCATATTACCTTACCATTAAACTAAAATTTCATCAAACTATATATGAGCTGAGAATGTTGTGAAAATAGGTACCTGGGGTGAATTCTGGGACTTGGAAGGCTTCCGTTCTAGAGAGACGAGGGCGTCTGAATCAATGGCGGAAGAATCCCCTCTGCAGAGCTTGGTTCTAGAAAGGATTGATGGGTGCCATTTCTTCCCTGCAGATCTGCAAATTAAACCCACCCAAAAGATCACACAAATTCCATCAATTATAAGATCATACAAACAAACATGCATGAAACAAAGAACAACCCAGCCAGAAACTCACAAAATTAAGGATCAATGTTTGAACATTTTTGACCGGGAAAACGAGAGAGTTGCCTACCTTGATTTGAAAGGAGACATGGGGTTTAGGGGGAGGTCCGGGTTCTTGAAAATCTTGGGAAAATTCCAGGTCGTAGAGGCCCCAGATTTTTGAGTGGTTTATGTTTGACAAGAATCAAGATCTCTCCTGGGGTTTGGACAAAGTCCGAGGTTGGCGGGGGTTCTCCTCATTTAGAACACTCATCGTAACGCCAAAATATAGGGGCCGATATGGGAAATTTAGATGCAATTTTTTGTGTGTGGCCCCACATGCATTAAACCATACCAATGTGTTATAAATATAATATTAATTACAGTTAATTTCGTTTTTAGTCCTAGATTTATAGATAGCAGTCAATTACTATTATTATTGTGACATGATCATTTTTTGTTTTCTATTAATAAAATAGTTTAAATTTCGTTAAATACAATGCAATTTCAAAAACATAAAAAATATATAGCGGGTCAACTTATTTGTATAAAAAAAAAAAAGATTGAAATGTCCTTATATTTAATGACAATTCAACGATTTTTGTTGATGGAGGATCAAAAATGATCATGCCACAATAATACTAGGACCAAATGATGATATTCTGATAAAAAAGAACTAAAAGTGAACTGAAACTTATAAATTAGGACAAAAAAGAGAATTAACTCTATTAATTAGGTTCCATATATCCAAACTTTTATAATATTTGGAAAATTTATATGCACCCAAAAAGGCAATTTGTGTATTGCTATAAATAAAAAGAAACAATGATTTTTTGTATATAATTAGAGTTATTACTATTTTTTTTTAATGTAAAAATATCATTTTTTTCATCAAAAGTATTATATTTTCCCTTATAAGTAATGTCGCATGTATAAAGAAAAATATAATACTTAATGTAAAAGTATTATGTTTTCTCATATAAGTAATAAACATTTTATTCTTGATTTTATATTACATTTCATCTTGACCCGACCCGGTTCACGGATAAGAATTTGTGAGATGGTCTCACACAAATTTTTGCCTTTACTATGTATTAATCCAAGCTAATTATTGACTACATTAGCAAATAATGTTTATTACATATCGAGATTATGTGAATATTGTTTATCAACAATTATATGTATGTAATAGCATACCAATTGGAAACCATGTGAAAAAAAAAAAAAAGAAGAAAAAAAAGTACATAAATGTTGAATTGAAAGGTTATTCTAAAATCGGACTTGAATATACCACCACTTTAAAAGGTAATTTAAAATAGAAAATTTGATGTGAACTCAAATTAATTTGGATGGAAAAAAAAAAAAATGGTGCCCTACATCTTAAGTTCACAATACCTAATTAGGGCCATGCACATAAGGAAATAGATTTCAGTATTTGATTGATTGGTTTTAATAGTGTCGAGCATTAATTATTTACCCTAAATCATATATATTTTTTAATGGTTTTTAATGTAACGAACCACCATAAAACTACTAGATTAATATAAGAGTAAATACCCAAAATAATCCTTTGACTATAGCTAAATTTACAAATTGGTCCTCGACTATTAATTTTAACCAATTAAGTTCTTAACTTTCCAATTTTGACCCAATTTCATTCTCCGTTGAAATGGTTGTCTACTTATCGAGATATCCGAGGACAGAGAGGTAAATTCACAGATATTTACTGTAACGAGCTTTCCGGCGTCGAGAATAGCATCAAGAAGGCGGCAGTGGTGGCGCAGGCCGAGGACCTCGAGAGATCCATCAGAGAAAAAAGACTCATCGATCTCCACCAAAAGCTTCAATCGCAGAAACAACAAATCAAATATCTCAACGTCGGAAAGCTCGACACGATCGTGTTCGGAATCAACAATTCCTCCCTCCCCTACCCATCCACGCTCCCCCGGAGCCTCTCCGCTTCCGCGACGGTCCACCCGTCAGGAAATCCCCCCCACCACCCTTCGTCTCAAGGCTGCTAGTCCAAGAACCTGACTGCCCGTCGCCGGAAATGCAACGACCCAAAGCTCCGGTCCTTGGACCGGTTGTTAAACGAGTTCGCTAACTCTGGCAAGGACCCCCACAACATGGTTCTCGGGTGGAATGAAATAGAGGCCAAAATCAAGAAAATGGACCGGTGTGTGAGCTCCACTGCTCTGCTTCACAAACAAATGGATGAGCTTTCCGGCGCCGAGAATATCCTCAAGAAGGCGGCGGCGGCGTTGCAAGCCAAGGACCTCGAGAGCTCCGGCAGAGAAAAAAGGCCCATCGATCTCCACCAAAAGCTTCAATGGTGGAAATAACAAATTAGATATCTCAAAGAGAAATCCCTTTGGTTTAGAACATTCGACACTATCACATTATTACTAGCCCGGTCCATTTTCACAACCTTATTGAGGATCAAGATCATGTTCAGAATCAACAATTCCACCCTCCCCTACCAATCCACGCTCCCTTGGAGCCTCTCCGCTTCCGCGACGGTCCACCTGTCGGAAAATCCCCCATCGCCACCCTTCGTCTCAGGGCCACTTGTCCAAGAACTCGACTACCCACCACGGAATAAATTCTTCCGGTCGAATTCCGAGGAGCTTCGAGTACCAAAACCTGTTGCCCAAGACCAACGTTATCTTGCTTCAAACCTTATTTTTTTCTAACCAGGAGAAGACCAAAGTCGCCATTACCGAGCTTCTGGTTGGCCTCAATTACATCTGTGAATTTACCTCCCTGTCTTCGGATATAACGGTAAGTAGACGGCCATTTCAACGGAGGACGAAATTGAGTCAAAATTGAAAAGTTAAGGACTTAATTGGTTGAAATCGATAGTCGATGATCAATTTGTGAGTTTAGCTATACTTGAGGAATCATTTTAGGTATTTACTCTTAATATAAGGTAACAGGTACAAAAGGATATTGTATTTAGGGCTAAGACCCCTAAAACAATGTAAGTCGGCTACAAGTGTACTAAATAAACAAAGGAGAGCCAAATACCTTGTGCTCAGATGGCATGTAATGACAGAGGTCATGAGATCAAGCCCCTCACTGGAGGCATTGTTGGCTTTTTGTGCTTCAATAGGTTGAGAAAGTATGTTTGAACAAATACTATAATGTAATAGAGTCAGTAGCATTAAAAAAAAAAAATTAAACAAAGAAGATAGATTTGGCCTAAGGTGCCCAAGTACCAATCGTTATATCGTGGACCAATACACATAATTTGATTTTATAATGTACAAAATTCATGTTCATAATGCACACAATTTATGTTCATACTATACATATACATAAACATGATATAATGAACATGAATTATGTGCATTATGAATATGAATTCTGTATATTATGAAGTCAAATTATGTGTATTGGACTAGGGTCCACAATGCACTATATACCCTAGTCCACGATATAAATTGCCCCCAAGTACCAAGCCAATCACAAACTGATCGACTATTACTACTCGCTAAGCCGCAGATGAGAGTTGACGTACTCCTTCGCCACAAGGCAAGGTAAACCTTTATACATAGTATAACAATTGGTCTCTATCACCACTTCTATGTCCTTCACGCCTTGTCCCTTTGTGAATGTTTCAATTTCTTCGTACTACGTTGAAGGAAATTTTGATTTTCTATAGATCTTTCATTCTCATTAGAAATGTCGTTCACCGTATTTCAAAGCTACTTTTTTTTTTGTCTCCATATTTTTATTATGATGCATAATGCATTAAATGGTTACATATTAATACTCACCAATTGAAAAAAAAAAAAAAACTCATATTTATCATTGTTGGACCATATTATGATTTATTATCAATTTCTAGATATCTTATATATAGACTATAAGAGCCTTGAGGTAGCATCCAGAACATAATATGCCATTTGACATCAATCACAACCATTCACATTGCTGACCAACAAGGTGACGTTTGTGCAAGTTGATGATGGTTGTTTCTTGGTCGGATAAGGTTTTAAAAATAGGGATATGATAATAGGCATGCTAACAACTTACAAGTCTTTGTATATATCAAGGACTGTTAGATTGTCTCAACCATGGCTTCAAATATATAATAAAGTAGCATTATATATGAAATTAAACGTGCATGAATGCTAAAAAGTTTGATAATTAAACTGAAACATCAGAAAATTCACTAGTAGTTGTATTAGATAGCAATAGTATGGTCAAAGTGGGCTAGTAGAATGGACTGTTCTATTAACTGCATGCTTGGTTTTGGAGAAATCAACCTAAGCACAGAAGTTGTCTACCTGAATGACAGACTTTGGCATTCATTTTTCACCAAATATAGACAAAATGTTTGGTTTACAAGCATTTTGAGGAACTGTAAATCGAATCAAATCTCATAATTTAATTTACCTCATCTATCAAGACAATGGCAGGTGGAGTGCTGGTTCGGCTAATTCATCAGGGGCGAGCTTTCTACTAGGTTTAAACCCTCAACTTGAGGGCCCCTCACTCCCTGCCCGGAGGATTGTGAGAGGAGGTAATTAAATCACGGGATGTATCTTAGTGACGCAAGATCTGAGTGCTTGCTTTTTGCCCTAAGATTGATATCCTCTCCCATTGAGGATTCAAACCCGGGGTATTCGTTGGATCACTCCACCCACACTCAACCTTTCGACCACTGAGCTATGCCTCAGGGCACTAAACCAGATTGAACTTGCTCGGTTGCTCTGCTTAATGCTTGCTCTCCATGTTTCACCATCTGTTGGTTTGGTAATACCACTCCAGTGTCCAAATCCCAGCTGCTGATTTGCTTAGGGGATATGTCAATAGCAATGCATTTCAGCTAAGAAATATCCAGGAAAAAGTTACCAATTAGAAAGTCCTTTTGCGATTTCATCTGCAAGTTGATCTGCTTGATTGTTGAATGAATTTCTTGCATATTAGGATGAGAAGAATCACCTCCCAAAAAGCAATGGACTTTACTTTCTATTTCAGTCCAACTGCAAGCAGGTTGCTTCTTAATCCCTTGCTCTTTCATCAAGCCTCTCATTCTTGAGATCTCCCCCCACATCCCAGCTGCAGCATATATGTTAGACAACATAACATATGATGCTGAATTCCGAGAACCCAGTTCCACGATTTTCTCCCCGGCGAGCATTCCCAGTTCCAAATTTGAGTGAGCAAAACTGCTTGCAAGAAGAGCACCCCAAGCAGCAGAGTCAGCTTTGAAAGGCATCTCTTGGGCGATCTGGAAAGCTTTCTCCAATTCGCCTGCTCGCCCTAAAATGTTAATCAAACAAGCATAGTGCTCAGACTGGGGACTAAGTTTGTAGGTTCTAACCATTGAATCAAACCAAAACATGCTCTCTTTAACCATCCCTGTATGCGCACAAGCAGACAATAAGCTGAGAAACGTTATCCCATCCGGTTCATGTCCTTTGGATACCATCCGCTCAAAGAATGCAACGACTCTCTCATACAGGCCATGTTGCGCAAAGGCAGCTATGATGGTGTTCCAAGAAACAAGGTCTGGGTTGGTGATAAGTTCAAAAGCGAATTCAGAATCAAGAATGCTACCACATTTACCATACATGGTAATCAAACCATGACATGCCGGGAAATTGGATTCCAACCCAGTTTTAAGAATCAATGAATGCATTTGTCTCCCTATAGCTATTGATGCAAGATTTGAGCATGCATTAAGAGCTGAAACAGCAGTGGAAATATCTGGCTGTAGACACATCCTCAACATTTGAACGAGTAAATTCAACGCCTCCTCATTGCATCCATTTTGCACATAACCTGGGAAATTCCAAGCAACATATGTATGAAGAAAGTACTTATGAAGGATAAACGGAGTGATCCCTCCGAGGAACATCATGTAATCATCAGTTTCAGTAACATAATTTTGTGAAATTTAAATATTTATCGAACTGATGAAAATTGATGCCATATGATATCATCAGAAGAGCTGAGTTATTTAATAAAAGTCAATTTCTAAAGCAATATACTAATGTCAAGCTCACACTTGTTTACCAATTTTACTTTTGTCTGCATACCTGCTATCATTGCATTAAAGGCAACAGTATCTTTAGAAGAAATCCCATCAAATAGTATCTTTGCTTCGTCCATGCGAGCCTCCTTGAAGAACCCTACTACCATGGCAGTTTTAGCAACAATATTCTTAGTTGGCATCTGCTCAAACAAATTCTTTGCCTGATCAAACCTATTGTTGTCTACATATCCACTTATCATCACAGTCCAAGAAACTTCATTTTTTGTTGGCATATAATCAAACAACGCCCTAGCCTTGTCAACTTCTCCTTTCTGCATATATCCATCTATCATGGCAGTATAGGAAATGACATTCCTCCTTGGCATCTGCTCAAACAAGCTCCTAGCTTCATCCACCATGCCATACTTGATGAACCCAGCAATCATTGCATTCCATGAGGAAAGGTTCTTCTCAGGCATGGTGCTGAAGTACAGGCAAGCATCATCTAAGCAATCATTGTGTACACAACCAGCAATCATTGAATTCCAAGACACCACATTCCTCTTCGGCATGGACACAAAAAGTTTCTTGGATTGGTCCAGACGCCCATGTTGCCAGTACGCGGTGATCATTGAATTCCAAGACACAACATCTCTTTCGAGCATTTGATCGAACAGCTTGCGGGCAGATTGGATCTTCCCTGAGTGAGATAACTCCACAATCTTGAGATTGCAGGAGTAAATATGGTGGGCCGAAAAAGATGAGAGCTTGGGGGAGTTGCGGGAAGAATAAGGTTGAATCCAACAGAGGGAATGGAGCTTTGATCTTATGGACATTAGAAGTGGTATTATGGGAATTAGCAAAGAACTAGAGGCCTAGAGCAGACCATAAAAACATTAATCTCAAGGCTACATAAAAGAGTTTTTTGCACTTTTAGTCTCAGGACTATAGTGGCGCTACTTTTAGTCCCACGACTATAGTGGCACTGGCAGAATTGATCCACGACTTTTGAACCTTGCAATTTTAGTCCACGACTATTGATTTTTTTTCAAAAATGGTCATTTCGGCCACTTTTCCGTCAAAATTCACCAGAAAAAAAAAATTCTCCATTTTTAGCCGGGTTAAAATTGACATTTTACTTATCTCAAAAAATTAAAAGAAAAAAAATTGATATTTGACTACATACAATATTACTGGGCTACATACTACTGTCCCAGGCGGCGGAGTTCCTGGAGCAGGCAGAGCTGTCAGTAAGCGGCGGAGCGGCCTTCCTGGAGCAGGCAGGGCTGTCAGTAAGCGGCGGAGCGGCCATGGCGTTCCCCGAGCTAGTTGGGTTATCCGGCAGCAGCATTGGAGTGGTACATGTACTCCACTGCCTGGGGCAGTAGTATGTAGCCCAGTAATATTGTATGTAGTCAAATATCAATTTTTTTCTTTTAATTTTTTGAGATAAGTAAAATGTCAATTTTAACCTGACTAAAAATAGAGATTTTTTTTTTCCGGTGAAATTTTGACGGAAAAGTGGCCGGAAGGACCATTTTTGCAAAAAAATTAATAGTCGTGGACTAAAATTACTAGGTTCAAAAGTCGTGGATCAATTCTGCCAGTGCCACTATAGTCGTGGGACTAAAAGTGCAAAAAACTCCTACATAAAAACATTAAGCGCTCACTAAAAATGTTTTTTTCTTTCTCTATTTTTATACAATAATAATAACTATTTTATATCGAAATATCATATTACATATCAATTATATATATATACTCAGTGGAGGCGTTATTGGTTCTTTGTGTTTCAGTAGGTTGAGAAAGTATATGAACAGATACTACAATGTAATAGAGCCAGTAGCATTCAAAAAAATATATATATATATATACTCCGTACTTGATAACAAAGCTTTAGAGCTTTCTTACTTCTTATTGTCCTATTTGATAAAATAGCAAGCTTATCAGCTAATTTTAATTTAGAGAAAATTTTAATTTTGATTTATTGACTATTGAAGTTGTGTTAATTGCAACACTTGACTATTAAAAATGTTAATTTAGTACCTTGACTATGCAATTTCTATCAATTTTGGTCACACCGATCAAATTTTTGGTGAAAAGTAACCGGAAAAATTTTAATAGTAAAATAATAAGGGCATGTTGGTCTTTTCATCTTTTCTGTTCTTCTCCATTGGGTTTCTTCCAAGCGCAGAACCCATGATGGGTTTGTAACTTTGTTTGCATCAAGAGCATTTAGACCAAGAAAATTGACAACAATGGCTTCAACCACATCCGTGCTCCTCTTCTCCGACATCCCTCTCGTCGATGGGTGGTTTCACTTTCTACATCCCTCTCGTCGGTGGCTCCATGTGAATTTTATTCAAAGACTAACTAAAAAAGGGGGAAAATGAAAATTGAAATCCGGCCAAAACTGATGCGTCGTCGTGCATACGATTGGTGTTCTTCAATCAAAATATTGACCTAAGAACTTGCGCATGCGTTTCCTGAGAGTGCTTTCCTTCTTCTCTTTGTTAAGATCGTGTTGGTGTAGGAACTGGATCCACTTCCGTAGGATATGGCTAACGTTGTCGCGATTGTTTTCCTTCGTCAAACGGTTTGAATTTGAATCCTTGGTGCCGTGATTGTTTTCCGGTAAGCGGTGGTTTGACACCTTCTGGATAGCATCCTGTCGGCAAAGATGGCGGGGACCGTTACGGTGGAGGAAGGGGATCGTCTTTGGCATGAGACAGTGGCGAACGGCGCCTCTGCTGCGATTGATTTCAACCTTATCGCTATTGTTATCTATCAGAAAGTATGAAACCTTCTCGTCGGCGGTTTTAGGCAAGTGTTTCGAAACCTTAATATAAGTCCTTGGTTAATCAGCTTTTTGTAACTTTAAAATCTTAAAACACTGACAAAACAATTTTTTCAATTAACTAACAGCTAATTGTTATTTACCAAACACCCAAATAACTAACAGTCATTTATCAAACGGGTCATTATCAATTTCTCATTTGCTAGCTTGCTAAGCTCATCTTCATAACACAATAATACTCCCTCTATTCTATTTTATTAGAAATTACACTAAAAATACTATTAAACACAAAAAAAAAAAAAAAAAAAAAAAAAAAAAATCAAATTTAAAAAAAAAATTATATAAAGAAAATAAAAAATAAAAAAATATAAAAAAGAATCAATTTAACTAACAAATAGTAAGTAGATCAAATAAAATAACACAAATGGGAGTATTTTTTATTAATACTTTCTACAAAATAAATCATCATTTTGTTTATATTAAATTTGCAAATAGGAGCGGAATAGAAATTATCACATAATAACCCACTACATTAGATGCAAAATAGGAATAATAATATTTGTTCGCACAAACATTTGAGTTGTTGACAAGAAAAACAAACAGTTTGATACTAGCATCTTCTTCCCCAAAACAAGACACCAACCAATTACATCACACAGCCACCACCAAAACTGAAAGAAAACAATGGCGCCTAGGAACCAACTGCTAAAGCTTCATTACCATCTTCTACCTATATAACTTGACAGAGAACCAACAACCAGAAAACACTACACTTAAGCGCGTTCGCCCCTAATCCTCCTGGCCAACTGGATGTCTTTGGGCATTATGGTCACACGCTTAGCATGGATGGCACAAAGGTTAGTGTCCTCAAAAAGACCAACAAGATATGCCTCAGCTGCTTCTTGGAGAGCCAGCACAGCATGACTCTGGAAACGCAGGTCAGTCTGCAAAACAAACCTTTGTAAGGGAAAAACCCAGCCAAAATACAGAAATCAATCTATGGAAGTAGTAACCACTCGAATTACCTTAAAATCCTGGGCAATTTCACGAACCAGCCTCTGGAACGGCAGCTTCCTGATCAGGAGCTCAGTACTCTTCTGGTATTTGCGGATTTCACTGTGAGATTAAAAGACAAAGAAACAAGCATTAAACTCCTCTATACAAACACTATTCCATTAACATTGAGTAACAGTTGATTCATAACTCTTCAGCTGATATACTCACCGAAGAGCAACAGTTCCAGGGCGATATCTGTGGGGCTTCTTAACTCCACCAGTAGTTGGGGCAGACTTCCTAGCAGCCTATGACCAAGATTACACAATATCAGGCAAAGACACTACATACCCCACCATATGCAAGAGTTAATTGAAAATGATTAGAAAAGAAACCTTGGTAGCAAGTTGCTTCCTAGGAGCCTTTCCTCCTGTGGACTTCCGAGCAGTTTGCTTGGTACGAGCCATCTGAAAAATTACAGCAACCATATCAGTAAATTAGCAGAGAATCAAGATAAGAAACATTGGGGTCAAGCACAACAAACATATGAAGAAGAATCCAAAAACTGATTAACAAAATTAAATTAAGCATAAATAAATTTGACACAGGATCTAAAAGAGCACCAAAGATCGTAGTTACATAATATTATCCCCAAAATTGTCATCTCTTACATCAAAATTAGAAAACAAAAAGAGATTAGAGTGTCTCAGATATTCACCAGAATGTAGAAACTATAGCAAAATTCAAGCAATATTCAGGATGTACGATAACCAATAAAGCTAACAAAACCCTAACCATACGACAAAGATAATTAAACAGGTAAATCACAACATTTTTAACAAATACAACAATTAGACTAAATCAAACCCGAATGCAACCTGCAAAATACTTCCTCAAACTCCGCACAGCAAATGGCGCACTTCTCTCTACCCTATCCCACTATACATCTCTGTCAAAAGAGATACTCCTTAATATCTATCTAGTTATCAATTAACTAAGATATATTCACGCAATTGATAATGGAGTCCTGATCTTTCGATTCTCACTAATAATCAAGGCAAGGCTAGTATCAGGTAATTACCCTAAACTCAACCAAATCAGACGATGATTCACCAACAACGCCATAAGATTTGTAAAGAAAATCAATGGATACGGATAATTAAGGAGAAAAATACTAGCGAAATTAGGAGAATTCTCACCTCTCAGATTTGCAGACCGTCTTCTTCTTCTCCCTTTCGACTGGAGCGAATAGCAGAACGTTCAAGAGTTCGATGATTGAAGGGTATTTATGGCGTCAAAGGTGTAAGGAGATATGGAAATGGACGGACAGGATTGGTTGTCCCTGTGCTTTCGAAGAACTATATCGGACGATAAATACATGGGTTAGTTGTGTTTTCTAATGGGAAATGGACGGTTTGGATTCCGTGTTAGAGGTTGACCCGGATCGCTAAGTCTCAATACTCCATTCCTATTGGTTGATAAATAGACCAATTAGCAGTTGAGTTTGTTTAACTCCAAAACCCCACTACAATCTCTAATCTCTAATATCTATTACGGATTAATTACGAAATTAAAATTAAAATGCCCACTGCCCAACTACCAACCACATTATATCATATTTATATTACGGAGTACTTTATTAAATAGTGAATTTTAGGTGATTTTTGCAAGTTTTAACTTTTAAGGGATTACTATTAATTAGTGGATTAGAACATTTTTATTAGTTTTAATACACGTGTAAAAGAGAGAAGATTTGAAATTATTGTAGAAAATAGTGAATTTTTGTCTCAACAGTGAGTCTTACCAAAAAAATAAAAATTGCTCCTAAATGCTCGTGAGGTGCAAAGAAGCGTCCAACCGGGCGCGTGCATTCCACGTGCCAAGCTAAGCGCGTAAAAATTCTTTATATATATTTTTCCTTCATTTATAAGACTTTGGGGTTGTTTACTAACATAAAATTTTGTAAATTTTCTATAAAATTTTGAAAAATTAGAAAGAAGAGCGTTTGCCAAAGGTATTTTCTATTTTCAAAGTAGAGAATGGTTCTCTATTTAATAGGAAATTAGAAACTTAATCAAAAGTTGTTTTCTGATTTGAAACAAGATGAACAATAAAATTAAAGCATGAAAGGCATCAATTCTCAGTGCGAGCTTTTATTTTCGTTATTTCTCATGTTTCTTTGCTAGATTTATCACGGTCTCTTTGATTCACAACCACCATCTCACACCTTCAATTCCCCTCAATTGCTCATCCTTCGACGACGACGAGACCAGGGTTGAGTGGGCGACGGTAGTCCGTACTCGACGATGACGAGACCAAGACTAAATGGGTACCTATAATCAGTAGTTGACAACGATGAGACCAGCACTAAGCGGGCGACGATAATCCGTTATTGGTGACTCTCTCATCTTCATCTACATCGTATACGTGGCGGCGAGTTCTGTGCATCCTTTTGCAACTGCTGATGCTTTTAATTGGTGTGCTGCTTGGTTATATTTGCTTAATTGATGTGGGTGTATTGGATATGGTGTGGTCACTATGCATTTGCTGATACTTTTAAAGAAACCAGAGTTATTTGTTTGAATTAGTGCTATCATGGAACCTAAACTTCCTCATATTGCCTCAATGGATATGGTGTGATATGGTGTGGTTACTGCCAAAATAGGTACTCCATACTTAGATAATTTGTGTTATTAGATAAACAAGTTTTCAATTTTAGTTTTCGAAAACATAAAATATAAAACAAAGAACGAAAGTAAACAGAACTTTTTTTATAAATAAGACTGCACTTAAGATTATTATAAGGGTTGAATTTATCTGACCTTCAATAGGCTACAGTGATATATCGATCTCAATGATTAAGTTTATTTGTGAATAAATCAAAATTATGATATATATGCTCAACACACCTCATCACGTTCGAAGACCAATTACTTTTCAATTGGCTCCCATCTCTTATATCAAGTAACGTGGAGATTCAAACTCATGACCTTTGACATTGAATTAACTCTGATATCAAACTGAAACATGTGTTCCATTGGAATATTATATATACTCAACAACATAAAATTGCAAATGTGACATTAAAAGAAAAAAATGTTTTAGAGAAACTAGGATGATTTAAATAAATAAAATAAATGTAAATCTAAAATGAATACAGGTGGCTCCTATTTACAGGAAATCCTCACTAATTTTTCTGCACACTAGGAAAATTAAAATCCCAACAAGCTAATTCACCATTTCACCACTAGAAAGCCAGCCTGTAATTTGGAGAAGGCATTAACATTAAAATTAAAATTAAAATTAAAATTGAAATTAAAGCACAATGACAACATAATAATGCCCTCAACTTCTGCAAAAGGAATTTTGTGTATTGCAGAGCGACTGAGCGAGAACCTGAAGCCTTATACAGAGTAGTTTTTATCTCTACAGCTCTATCAAAAAATGCATATGAAGAAGTTCTTTGGATTTTAGCCATCACCATAGTCTATATACCAGAAAGGGCGTGCCTGATTATGCATATACTCCACTGTCTGCCCGTCAATAACCACTACTTACCGAACGCGAAAGTAATTGGCAACTTTAAGATGGTTTGCAAGGCGTCTGATAACTGGTTGCACGGATATGGAGTTTGGAGAGAATGAATCAGGAAGCTCAGGGAGGCAAACAGGCAAATACTGGTCACTATCTTCCCGTAGGCAAAACAGAGTGAACACGGCACGGCAGAAAATAAATCTGGTTGAAATGAAGAATAAAACATGATTTCGATTCACATCAAAAGGAGAATAAATAACCTCATTAAACCCCGAGGTGATTACCTAAGCAGAAGACGTCGGAGAAATGGATCAGACAATACTTGAGCCCAAACCAAGTCTAGGCTAGTTGTTGTACAGAGCATTATCTCCCACTCAGAAAATGCAGTAGAAATGATGCTCTCAGCATCATTATAGTGTTCCTGGAATTAATCAACAACTGAATAAGAGAAAAACAAAAATACCTCTGAGAATTGTCTATTCGGCAGCAATCAACTTACAAGATCATCATCCATTGGATTGATGCCAACCAATTCACAGAAAGCCTGTAAAGGAGCAGCCAAGAAGAATGTGAACTGACTCCCATTCCTCATTGCACCAGAGCTAGGCTTCTTAAATAATGGTCTCAAAGGAGATAGAAGTAAAGCACATCTTTCTCCTCTTTCTGCACCTTGGAGAACCTGGAGTGATGCATTGATATAATCAGTAGATGAAAAAAGAACACCTCATTCAATGGCGATTATACACACACACACACACACACACACATCTGTGTGTGTCTCGTGTATATCACAGTTAAAATTAAAAAAAGCAAAACAAGTATCATTTCTCTACTTAATGCTATAGGCCCGTTCTCCTAGTTCGCTAAATAAGATTGACATGGCCAATAAAGAAGACTACACTTCCAAAAACAATCTAACCAAAAAACCTAAATTGTGTCCCATATGTGGTGGAGATAAAGATACAGTTTTGACAAACCTGCCTTGAATGCATGGCTGTTGTCACTATCAATAATTATGAAAAGAGGTCTTCGTGTGAAGGGAATTAGATCCCCTGGGTATAGGTTGTTTAGACCTGAAAAATACATAAGAACAAACAAATCAGATGATTAGGTAAAGAATTACAAATAGAAAAAAATAGCGTGGAGATGTACCTCCAGTTCTGCTAGGACCTAACCACAAATAATTCTCAAAATAGCCAGTGGAGTCTCCCTTGCCACTTGTATGATTCTCATGCAGGGAGCTAATTTGTTTTTGAGATGTCTGAGAGAGAGCAGTGGGCTTCACAAATTTTCTGGAACTTGTAGAGCTTCCCATCAGTGATGAACTAGTCTGACCAGTACTCCCTGGAAACAGAACACAGGTATGATTTTCTTGGCAAGGTCATCATTAAAAATATATATCTTTATAAAATTAATTTAAAAAATAAAAAAGAACCTTTGAGTCCCATAAACTACAAAAAGGTAACCTGATGCTGAGAGGTATAATAAGATCACACTTTCTGAAGGAAGCTCCTCGATTATTTTGGCAATGACCTGCAGTTATAGAAGTGAATAAGCAATCATAAAAAAAAAAAGGGTTCAAAATGGATTGCAAAGCATAATAACTTTGAACTCACTGCTATCAAGTGTGGAACAGAAGGCCGATAAAGCACAGCCTTTTTAGGATTTGGAGGAAGGTTTGGATCCATCATGTCTGCAGCCAAATTTATATCAATCAGTCCAGAAGTCAAGGATTGATCAGCTAATAATCCATCTTCACGTGATTCAGCTTGTGTCTTCTGATAGAAAGACCCACTGGGTTCCCATTCCAAACATTGCATCATTCTAAAAGTGTCTAAAGTTAATTCTGCAAATTTGACCTGAAATGGCACCAAGTTCAGATTATAAACAACTTTAAATTCAGCATCTAATCAGAGAAATATGAATATTTGAAAACTCATTTTCATGATATCTTGTCAGCAGTGGGTCTTGAAACTATGGGATGCTTTAAACTCAACATCTAGACAACAAAATAAAAGGATTTCACAAAACCTCATTTTTATGATAGCTTGTCAGCAGCGCATCTTGAAACTTTAGGACCTTATTAGCATGAAACCGGGCCACATATGGATGGGACAATGGATATGAATCAAAGAAAGCACAATAACGCAAAGGCCTGACGATTAAAGAGGAAAAATCAGCTTTCGTGAATCGAACAAGTTCTTGCACCACCAGCTTCCACTCTTTGAAGTTTGTATCCTGCAGTTACACACTTAATATAGTTGGTCATACAAACAGCCAGATGGACAAAAGCATTCTTATTATGGATTTATGGTACTCCATATTTCTTTTCATGATCCAATATATAAATATCCATTTGTTTTCTATGCTCATATATGTATCCAAGTATTGAATGTTATCCATGTTACCACAAGCATGACAGATTTGTACAAGTAATTGATATATATATATATATATATGTGTGTGTGTGTGTGTGTGTGTGTGTGTGTGTGTGTAGAACAGGATTCCATTGTTCCAGAGTTCTTTGTGTGCACATGAGGTACACATGTCTGTTTGCTGGATATATATTGCATTTTATCTAAGTAAATCCCAACTGATCAAAATAGATAGACTTTTGTATTTGTCGCATTTGTAGAGTAAAAAATGGCAATGTGCAGTAGAAATCAGACCAATAAATGGCCATCTCCTCCCAAAAAAAATGGAAAAGTACCTACAGATGCATTATGTAACTGGTAGCTACAATGCATATATGTTGTAAAAGTGTGGCTTGATTGGGCCTATTCCTTTCATTAGTTAATCAGAAATCATTTCACATTTTTTGAGGACCTTAGCTTTATGAAGTTGAAGTGCACCATCGTTATCTTTACATTAAATCCCACATTTTCATAATTTGGTATTGAAGTTAAATAAAAATATATTTCCTTGGTACTTTTTTCTCTTCCATTTTCATCAAAAACACAACTCTGTGACATGACTACCCGCCTACCTTCCACCCTCCAGAAATGTACCAAAGTGTAGAATAATTAATTGATAGAAATGAAGTTAATTAGGCAAATAACAGAAAGGGAGAAAATTACTAATCCATTGTCTAAAATGCAATGTATTGTAGTTCCACAGAGTAGAACATTCCAGTCCCAATATCGGCTCAATAATGTCAACAAATTAAGATTTGAGAATTGGTAATTCTGAAAAGCAAGTAATGGGAGAAATTGAAACTGTTCTCTAGATGCAGAAACAGAAGCAGAAAGAGAGTTCATCATACCGCAAAAGTGGATTTGCTATCGTCGACGAGAGACTTGAAGCGATCGACAAGCAGTTTGACCATCTCTGACCGGTTGAGAATCAACGATACCGTCAGAAACCTGGCATAGAACCGGAGTTCCTTAAACCGCACGCCGCGATCCTTGGCGGAGCCCTCGAAATACTTGCGGTTAAGAATCGCCTCGTAGAAAATGTAGGATTCAAAGAGGAAGCGAGCCTCGCTGGTGCGCATGTACTGGCTGAAGTACAGCTGGCCAATCCGCGAAGCAATCTCACCAATCTCCCAACGCTGCAGCCCCGAGTCGAGCAGCTTGCCCCGGTTCTCTTGCTGGAACTTCCACAGCCGCATGTAGGCCTTGAACACCTTGTGGAAGTAGTGCTCGGTCGGCGCTCCGCTGCCGTAAGCCGGCAGGTCACGCACCCTAGCGAACTTCTTCTCCGCGCTCTCCACCAGCGCTCTAAACATCCTCGGAACGACGTCGCCCCCTTCCATCACATCACATCACAACCGCCGCCGCTATCTCGCCGGAGCTCATCCAAAATTTCACATTGAAAAACTGAAAAAAAAATAAATATCACACAACTTTACACACTCACAATTCCGTGCATATACATGCGTGCGTGTGAATTGTGACAGGTCGGCTAGGAAATTGAGAAATTCTATTTTCCAGGTTGTAGCTGGGGAATATGTTGTGAGCTTTTGTTTTTTACATAAAATTTTTTGGTATTTTGTCGAAGGAGGCTTTTCGGTTCAGAGGGTTTTGCAGTTGCGGCGGTGGGTGGTGGGGAAGATTTGTTTGGAAGTATCGGGGAGAGGGTGTCTGAGAGTGAGAGCGAGAGCTTGTGGGGGCGGTGGATGACGCAGTACGATTCCGGTGAGAGGAAATATTTGTCTGTGGTTAACGACTACGTTATCGTGAATGGGGACGCACCCCGTCACCGATTTCAAGATTTGATCTCCTCAAAATGATTAATTCTAATTTTCTGCCCTTTTTATTTTAATTACGAAGGTATTAAAATAAGATGCGCCCATTCAAACTAGAGTTAATTTAACCAAGGGTCCCTTGTCTTTAGTGTCAATTTTAAATTTAGTCTTAAACTATTATTTTTGTTACTTAATATTTCAAATTATTATTTTTCTAAACATTTTTAATCATTCTCATAACTTTTTCTACTTTTAAAAAAATTACAAAAGAAAAATATGAACAATTAAAAATGTCATTCTTAAAATAGAAAAGGTCATAAAAAGGATTAAAAGTGTCCAAAAAATAATAGTGTGTGATGTTAAATGGCAAAAATAATAATTTGAAATTGACATTAAAAGACAAAGAACCTCTGGTGTAATTAACTCATTCAAACTATTATAATTTTTTAGTACTATTAACTCTATTACAATGCAGTGTTTTTTTATTACTGTTTAACCTATTAAATCACAGAAAATAAATATCACTTTCATTGAGACTCGAATCACAACTTTTTATATAAGAAAACAACTTGGTTTTACTAGATTATATATTGCTTTACCGATTGCTTGATGAACGATGATGAGCGGTATACTTGATGGGCAAAGGATAAGACAGAATGCATGGAAGTCGACTAGCTCTCAATGGGACCATAAGGACATAGAAGTTAAGAATAGAATGAATAAAAAAAAAAAAATCCATCAATTTTCTCTTTTTACAGTTTTACTTTTTGTTTGGGATCACCATTGTCATTGTTGACAATTGGAATTGCTTTTGGTTCGGACCACGAAATAATTTAGTGGAAGCAAACCAACTATTCCAAAGGTCGTTGATGGTAGGTCCACGACAACCAAGTTGACCTGCTACACCAATATTCAAATTCCTACCGTTTATGTGCCTAATTATATGTACCTTCCAATATTTTCCTTCTTTAAAATATAGGGATAAGGGTTAAATAGACTCTTGAACTATAGATAAAAGTGCAATTACACCCTTCAACTTTACAAAAGTGTAATTACACTCTTCAACTTGTTATTTTGAGTCAACTAAACCCAATTATAGATTATTCACCTGTAATAACCGGTCAAAATTTTCCGACGATATTTCCGGCGAAAATATCCGACCGGCAACCAAAAAAAATATTGATTGGCGCCTTCTCCATGGGATGCTCTGTCGGACCGGGGTATGGGAGGCCCTTGGGGTGGAGATTCCATTCGTTATATTGTGGACTGCGGTGCACCGTGCACGTGCACCGCGGTCAAAACGGTGCCGTTTCTTTAAGTAAAGAAACGGCACCGCCGATAATTTTAACGGAGCGCGCATTTTTTGTATGATAATTACCAACTGACACTACAGTATATCTAAATCGACACTGCCTCACGTATTATTTTTATATTATCAAATGAAACTGCAGTTATATCAAATGATACTGTAGTTGTCATGAAATGAAACTGCAGTGTATATAAAATGAAACTGAATAGCATTTCACATATTTGAGTGTATATTGTACAATGAAGCTGTAATTATATCAAAATGATCATGTAGTTATGTTTTAATAAAACTATAGTGTATATAAAATGAAATTAAATAGCATTTTCACATATTTGAGTTTATAAATATCGAATGAAACTGTAGTTATATTGAAATGAAACTGTAGCTGTGTTGAACCGAAACTGCAGTGTATACAAAATGAAACTAAATAACAGAGTTACTTTTTGCGGAAGGGTGCGGAACGACGGGAAACGAATGTCGTTTCTTTTCATTAAACAAAACGACGTCGTTTTGATGCGCGGTGCATAATCAATTATGCACCGTGGTGCACAATCAATTATGCACCGTGGTGCACGATATAATTTGCCGTGGGGATTCAACCTTTTGGGAAGAATAAAAGACACATAATCTTACCCTTTAGTAATTCAATTTTTTTTAAAAAAAATATATTATTGATTTTATTACAATGTAATATCTATCCATACATATTTTCTCATTGTCTTCATTGAGATTCAAACATGTAACTCTTCCCATTAAAATTTAAATATGTGACATCTCATTTGAGATACAGAGATAGTCACAGTTAATTCAGAAAATTAAACATACTCATAAATCATAATACCTAATTAAATCCAGTAAAACTGATTTGAGATACAGAGATAGTCACAGTTAATTCAGAAAATTAAACATACTTATAAATCATAATACCTAATTAAATCCAGTATAACTGTTTACAGCATCCAAAAAAATTGACTTTATGATGTTTTCACATGTGATCAAAGTTTACTTCAATTAATCAAGATTTGTCACTTACTCAATATGCATGCTATCAATAAATGGATTTATAATGAAAATAAAAAATTTTAAAAAAAATGTGTCTGGAAGAAAGAAGCATAAACTAAAAATGACGCACCTTAAGTGATAGAAATACGCACTTTAAGTGTTAGAACTTAAGTACAAACTCGCGCACATTAAGTACAAAACCCACACACATTAAGCACAACCTCACACACATTAAGTACAAAACCTACGCACTTTAAATATTAACTCACAGACTTTAAGTTTCAACAACTACTGACATTAAACACAAACTCGCGCACATTAAGTACAAAACCCACGCACATTAAGCACAACCTCAATCACATTAAGCACAAAACCCACACACTTTAAGTATTAACTCAGAGACTTTAAGTTTTAACAACTACTCACGTTAAGCACAACCCCACGCACATTAAGCACAAACCTCACGCACCTTACGCACAAAACTCACGCATCTTATATACAAAACTCACGCACATTAATCACATATCCGCTCACCTTAATTTTGAACTAGATGCAAAAATTACAAAATTACCACCGCATTTTTTTTTTTTAATTTTGATAATCTTAGACGTTGATTTAAGCGAGATGAATGACCCAAATTAAACCACACAACCGCACCTGGGCACCCTAACCACACCAAAACCTAATTCTATGTGTTATTACTATAGAGTTAATTCCAGCAATAGTCCTCCGACTATTGTGATTTTCCAAATTTAGTCCTCGTCTTTTAATTTGGACAAAATAAACCCTTGACTATTAAAATTGTTCCACTATTGGTCCTTCCGTTAACTAAGAGTTAAATAGATGTTAAGTTAAAGGGTAAAAAGGTCATTTCCAAATTTAGATCTTTCTTCTCCTTCATCTTCAACGAGTCCGTGTATCTGTGATCTGATGCTCCATGCCATCAACTGAATTTTCAAAGCAAAGCACAAGGGACATGCGAAGGAATTTAAGGAAAATACGAAGACTTCAAACATGATTTCAAATGAATTTTCAATACTCCCCTTTCATTATCTCTACCTCTAAACAATTAAGGATATACTTGAAATTATAAAATAAAATAAGGACAAAAGGGACAATTTGGGGTTATAGCGCAAATGAACAGTGCAGCGCCAAATATAGCGCTACACTGTTCATTAACGCCATTTCCTTTGGCGTTTTGGTGTTTTGGCCACACACCTTAAAAAGAGAAATTTGAGAGAATGGTATTTTGGGGATGGAAATTGGCATACCATTGGAGATGCTCTTAAAACGTTTATCCATCTATCGCCAAAACTCACCACGCATAATCGTATATCCCAAGGAAAATGATTAATGAAGTACATACAATAAGTAAAGGATCAAGAAATTCTGACTGTTCCCTGCACCTAACATATCACGTCACTACCAAGAAAACAGTATTTTTGGCATACTTTTCGACGCTACTTGATAATCAGAATTAAAGATAACTAACCTCATTAATTAGAAATATCACCGTTTAATGTCAACAATATTAATTAGAAATATCTATTTATGTTGAAATTTTTCAACAAATCAAACATTTATCAGAAAAGTAAGTCCAATAAATTAAGTTAGATAAGAAGATCATCGATTCAATTTCTAAAAATTTAAATAAACTTTTAAACCATTAATGAAAGAAGTATTAGACTCTCAAACTTTAAAAAGTTCAATAAATTTTTTCATTCAAACTCAATAAATCATACATCTAAATCCTATTTACAATTGTTTTTCCTGTTATTGTCATATCACCTACAACAACATATTTATATTGTACATTTTGCGTCAAAAAATTACGAATCACGACAGCTATCATTGTTCGAGCCGGTGGCAACATTGCGCTGACCTCAGCCATCAATGACATTGCAGCCACTTTTTCCAACCAAATCTAAAGAAGGTTGTTGCCTTCTTCAACTGGTTGAACGATGACGCAACGGGTGGTAGTGACAGGAAACAAGTTTGAAAACAATAATAACAATCAAATTTCACTTAAAAAAACTTGTAAGCAAAAGTTTTACTACGTTATTATTTTTTAATTGGTGAATAGGACTTATATTGATGGATGTATTGAGTTTATATATATAATTGCTTTTTTAAAAAACCTGATAGCCTAATTGCTGTTTTTTTAATAGTTTAATGACTTATTTAATTTTTGAAATACTTTTGGAACAATTATTTTTTAAGAAATTATTTTCATTCATGTATGAATGGTTGGATTTTATTATTGGTGGTCATGTAATTTCAGTCCACCTAAGTAGTGGAGACTGGAGATTACTAAATTAGGATTAATCATTTTGAAGATAAAGTATGTTTACATAATATTCATCATTAGTTACAACCGACGCATTTTAGTTGCCTAATTTACTCCCTTGTTTGGTCATACTATCTCTCCAACAACTTATTAGTACTATGAGTCTATGACCATGACCACTGTCGTCAAATGCGAGGACCCCACGAAGCAACTACCTAGATAATGATAACCATATTTAAAATTAGAAAAAGTCTACAAAACTTCTCCCAAAAACATGAATCTCCAACTCCAAGAACCTTCATATAAATCATAATAACACTCAGTACATAG